AACTGGTCTTGACGTTGCAGGATTGGAATATAGGATTGGCATGTAATTTTCTTCTAAATGAAGTTTATAATGAGAAGAATACCATTACAGTAAGAGCTATTGGAGATTTAATATTCACGAAATCTCTCAACTCAATACTGAGTACCTCTTTAGTAAAATATTAAAAAGTGAAGTTTCGCTATTTTATTAATTTATTAATTGTAATAATCGGTAATATTTTATTTTATTCGGTAATATTCGTTGAAGAAGTTATTGCTACCCATTACCTCGCTTTTTAATCATCCACTTTTAATTTTCTGGGATTTCGCAAAATTGTTTTACGTTCAAATATAAATGGACGAAGAAGAAATTGAAGAATTTGATAATGGTGATGAAGTGTGTGACGACACGAATTATAAGGAAATGGAGAATCTGAAAAAAGTAAGCACTGCTTATCCATTTTATGGTCTAACTTAATTTTAGAGACCATTCCCATGTCCTAGATGGCGGAGTACTGTACTTCTCAGCAGACTCAGTAGTTAGCACAGTAGAAATAGAGTTCAATTCAGTAGTTTAGCTTGTAGTTTTTGTTTAGCTGTTTAGTTTAGTTTAGAGTAGCTGACCCACAGCTCAGACAGAGACATAGATAAGTGGTAAAACTTGCAAAAAATTGATTTAATACTTCATTTTAGTGAAATATATTGTAATTTAGTTTTTATAGTGAATTTATTTCAGAACGTATGTTAGTGTTCTATTATTTCACTCAAATGGAGTGCATACATTAGGTAAAAATATAATATAATTTATTTAATACAAGACGCTAACTTCATATTTTATTATCTTATGCCATGGTATTACCTAAATAAATAAATATCCACACAGATTTTATTAGAAGAGAAGTTGAAAAATCCTAGTCAGTTTGTAAGCCACTGGGAAGCAGATGAAAGTAATGTTGAAGAGACTACTGAGGAAGAAAAAAACAGTTCGTTTTGTATTCTGACAGCGCATGTTCTTATTATTAGTTTATCAAATTACAAAAATACTTCATATTTGATACATTTGTTTTCTAAAATAAATTTTTATAGAGGATGTCAAAAAGAAGTTTCTTTGGGCTGCTGAATCTGGGAAGAAACATGTTTTGGAGGAATTATTGGCTGTAGATGCAAGTCTTGTAAATTGCCGTGATAGTGATGGTTATACACCTTTGCATAGAGCAGCTTATGAAAACAAGACTGATGTCGTCAAAGTAATTTTTTTATTTGATAACTATTTTTTATTAATTTCCCAAAATTTTAAAGTTTGTGTGTACTATATAATGTGCATTAATCTTTTTGAGATTACATTTAAGTTTGTTTTTTTTAGTTTTTACTTGCAAATGGGGCAGATATAAATGCCAGAACAAAAGATGACTGGACTGCACTACATAGTTCATGTTTTTGGGGTCAAACAGATGCTGTTCGTATTTTGCTCCAGTACAAAGGCTGTGACGTTAATGCAAAAACAGCAGGATCACAGACAGCTCTGCATCTGGCTTCACAAAATGCCTCCAGTTTAGATTTGTTCATTCTTCTTCTCATGCATCCTTTAACTGAACCTTCTGTTACCAACCAGCTTGGTGAAAAACCTGCAGATATAGCAAAGAGGAGCTTACCTTTTCATAATATTTTTGAGATTGCTGAACCTTATTTGAACATTTTGTGATATCACTAATTTCTTGTTTTACGTTCGTTACAATTTTTAATTTTCATCGTCAACTTATATGGTGATGAACACATTCATATGTAAAATAATTATAACACATTTATAATTATAACACACATCTATTAAATTGTGATCTTTTAGCAAATGTGTCTTCTCTGAATTGTTTGCTTAATCGGTTTTTTCAATGAAAGATTGTCCATCGCTATAACGTAATTAACAGTCTCGCTTCGCGTATCTAATGATCTTACAACGGTTTTCGGTCTTCTGATTTTTAAATCTACCGTTTCGTTAATTTAATATCTGACTAAAGAAATATGTCCGAGTAGGCATTTAATTTTGTTCATAATTTTTAGAACCGTCTGTTAGTTCAATTTTGAATTTAGGCCGTCATATGACCTTAAACATCTCAATAATAAGTATTTTTTCGTTTTCAAGGGGTTCTGACGTAGATGATGAGGAAGAGTCGGAAGTTAAGGACACTGGGGTTCGTAGGCTTTTAAACATTTGTATTATTTAGACTTATATCTAACCTCAAGTATGCGCTTATAGATGAATGTGATAAAGAAAGAGAAATGTCTGAATTTTATCAATTATTGTATTTAATTTAAAACGTTAAGACTTACGTAGGAGATAGAAATGAGAAAAGAGAGAGACATGGGTGGGGGAAGGCAGTTCTCCCAAATGGAGACAGATATGAAGGTAACTACGTTGAAGGAAAAAGACACGGTTTTGGAGTTTACAGGTCTTCTGTTCGTAATATTAATATTCTCAAAAATTCTTCAATTTGTTTTTTAATTTATAAAGATTCTTAAAAAATCGAGCTCAGTATTCGGGGAACTACATATACAATTATCGACAAGGATTCGGTACAATGATATACCCCGACGGCAGCAAATATGAAGGTTCACAATTCATTGAATTATGAAGATCGGCGATTTATTGTATGATATCTATGACCAAACTATTTTTGTGTCGTTAGGAAAGATGTGAAGTAATTTTTTCATCATCATTTTTATTTACAATCGAAGGAAATTGGACAGATGGTCACAGGAATGGTTATGGTAAATACTGCTATATAAATGGAGACATCTACGATGGTGAATGGCGGAAAGATAAGCGCAATGGAATGGGCGTTTACTACCACGCAGAAACTGCTACACAGCATGCTGGCTGGTGGAAAAAAGGAAAACGAGAAGGGCCGGCCGAGGTCACATTTTTGAATCATCGATTTATTGGAAGCTACAAAAAGAACAGAGTAGATAATACATTTTCTTCAATTCATTTAAATAAAAAGTTGTTTTAAACGTCATTCATTAATGTTGATATATCTTTCTGAAGCCATTAGGTCCAGGAAAATTTGAATTTGCAAACAATTCAGAAGCCACAGGGGCTTATGTAATGAAAGCAACAGATGTAAGTATTGTAATAAAAACCAGTTTAGAGTTGTGATAAACTTGTTTGTTTAGAGAATTCGACTTCAATCAGAATTTAAATTTCTACAGGATAGCGAGGAATTGGAAGAAATGGAAAACAATGATGACGAAGAGGAGGAGGAGGAGGAAGAAGAGGTTGAACGAGCAGCAACTAGCGGTTGGGGAAATAAGATTCCTGTTTGGAGGACAGACATGATAAATGACTTGCACAAAAGTCCTCCTCCAAATATGTTAGAGCAGATCGAAATTCACATGAGAAGTGTCAAATCTGAAATGCTGGAATTGGATAGAAAATTGTTACTCAGTAAGTTTCATTCTGGTTTGTCTTGTCTGCGCCCCAATGTTGAATCATTTATGCGATTTTTCGAATAAAACGTCATCATTCTCATTCGTACATTTTACTAAACCCGTTATTGACGTCAAACAGGTTTGAAGCCCCCAGAGAAAGAAGCCGAGTTGCAAGCAGAAAGTTCGCTGACAGATTTCTTTGGCACCGTGGCCAGAGATGACACATCTCTTCTTCTGGAAAAGTTCACAATAACTGAAGAGATCAAGTTGGAAGCTGAAGAAGAGGAGGAGGAGGAAGATGATGAAAACTGTGCTCCGCCTGAGAGTCCTATTGTTTTCACTGATGAGGAAATTAAATTTATTTCTTCACAAACAACTGACAAACAACCGCCAGCAGATTAATTCTTCCTATTTTTAACATTTCCTGTTCAAGTTATCTTTCCTATATTTATTACAATCCCATAAACTAATTCAGTGATCTAGTAACTTAAAGTTTATAACAGTTATATGAGAAAATATGTAAGATATGAGAGGGTTTTACCTGAATCTCCCTAATCAAATATGAAAACGAGCCAGGCATAAAAACAAAAAGAATCAGTGTTAAAACGTTTTCTGTGTTAACTCCAAAAACTTCTAATGTTAAATATAAACAGCAGGTTGAGAATTATGTTGTAAAGAAAATGTTTTCAAACTAAAAAATGTGATTTGAAAGACGTTCCTTTTTATGATTGGTATAATATAAATTGATGTGAATTAATTATCATGATAAACAACATTAAAATAAATAGAATATTGGATATTTATAGTTTCGAATGTTTCTTGCGTTCCAACTTGGCAATGGTTCTTAGGTGCACCTCATCGGGACCGTCAGCAAGGCACAAAGATCTTGTGAAAGCATACATGTGAGATAGAACAACGTCTTGGCACACACCTTTTCCTCCAAATATCTATTGTGTTGAAATTATTTAACACGTAGCAAACGAAAAATAAAAAATGTTGAATAAAACAAATAAAACAATAAAAAGTAATTATAATCGTTTCATTTTTAACTTATTAAAACATGGAATTGGTAACTGGACAGATTTGAAATACACGGTAAAAAATTGAAACGGTTACCTTATTCCAGGGTTAAATCACTTGACACCCCATCCTAGGTATATGAGCTTTGATCATTGCTATTTCGAGAGCAGCCTTCTGTAATTTCAATAAAAGTTATTTTGAATGGGGCAGTATTAGGAAGTCATTTCAAAAGTCCCGGCAAGAAGACCAACCTTGTTTCCAACGCAATCCATCATGTGCGCAGCCTTCAACACCAACAATCTTCCTCGCTCAATGTCAATTCGGGATCGTGCGATGTCTTGCTGGATGCTTCCCTGCTCTATCAGTGGCTCTCCAAATGCAACTCTTTCCTGAGCCTGAGTTTTAAATTATTAATTCAAACACAAATACTCATCTACGTAAAAAAAAGAATCACACATTGGAACATGATACTATCATTATTTGAAACAACTTCCCGTCAAAATGATTGAGATGAAAAATTTTTGAGTCTAACAAAAGTTTGAGTTTCAACATTTCAAAACACTGTTCCGACTTTCGACATTTAAATATTTGAAAAAATCAACGTTATTAAAGATTTTTATTCAATAGTGAACATAAAATAATATAAATTTAGATAGCTCGCCCTGATGACAGCCAGTTGGAGGCATCTTTCTGCAGCTCCCAGTATCCTCATGCAGTGATGTATCCTGCCTGGGCCCAGTCTGCCCTGAGCAATTTCAAATCCACTTCCTTCTCCCAGGATCACGTTAGTGAGGGGTACTCTAACGTCTGTGAAGGTAACTTCAGCATGGCCATCTTTGTGTTTTAAAAAGAGCATGGCATGATTTCAAATAATTTGTAGCAAATTTTTTTCTAAAAGCAATTTTAACATTCAACACCCAATGCACTAAACATGAGACTTTTTTAAAAATGTGTCATAAAACCCACGTGGAGCGTCATCGAATCCAAAAACATTGAGCGGCCTAACAACGCTAATTCCTTTGGTTTCCACGGGAACCAGTACCATACTCTGCTGCTTGTGAGTTGCTTCGTGTTTGTTCGTTTTGCCCATGAAGATGATAACCTTACAGCGAGGATCCAATGCTCCTGGATGTTGTTTTTGGTGGTGAAGATAAGGAAGATGAAGATGGCGACATTGATGGACAGTGATGATAGATATTGCAATGACTGATAACATTACCATAGCACTGCCATGTTAACAAATAAAGATATATCAAAAGGCTGCTATCAGTATATTCGTTATTAAACATAAAATAATTTTATCATAGTTTGGGGGGTACCAATCTTATTTTATCAGTTTTATTAGAATTAAATGAAAACTTCATAAAAAAAAAAATCTGAAAAAATGAGCAACCTGATGTCCACCATTTGTGACCATTGATAACATATTCATGGCCAACTCGTTCAATTGATGATTCTATGTTGGTTGCGTCAGATGATGCTATCTGGAAGAATAAAGAACCAAAATAAAATTTAAATATCACAGACTTTTTTTTATGAAAACTTATGAGAAACATCACAACCATCAAAAAGTAAGTAAGTATATTTATGATGGACGCTAAAAAATAAAGCATGAAAGAATAATTATCAATACTGAAAAGCAGAGCTTGAAATGAAACGTTGATTTGAATAGAATTTTAAAATAATAATAACATTAAAACCACAAAACGCTTCTCAAGTAGATGTTGACTAGACATAATTCTATTGATCTCACAAACATTAAAAAAAACATTCTCACAGATTTACCATCTAAAGAATAATTAACAATACTGTAAGAAAAATAACAAAACATATGTTTCAAATTTTAAAAAATCAATCAAATAAATGAAGATAGGCCTACAGCTGGTTCAGTCATGGCGAAGCAAGACCTGATGGAACCATTCAACAATGGAAGTAACCACTTCTGCTTCTGCTCATCATCTCCATATCTCAGAAGAACTTCCATGTTGCCTGTGTCTGGAGCTGAACAGTTGAACACCTGCGTCAACATGTAGCAACATCGGGTTTTTGTTGACTATAAACATGTGGCAGAATTAATGCAATGACAATAGCATAACGTTAATCAAACAAAAGACGAACTACCTCAGGCGCAAACATGGACCATCCCATTTCTTCAGCTAAGAAGGCATACTCAACATTTGTCAATCCTTTGCCATATTTCGCTTCATGGTCTAACTCTTTTGGTATGAACAAATTCCATAAGCCCTGACTTTTTGCAGCTAACTATCAAGGATAATTATAAAAAACTAATCAGATATTGAAACTAAAAAAAACGATGGGCGGCGCGATGGTGTAATGGCTAAGTGCCCGGCATTGTTGATGCAGCGTCCGGGTTCGAATGCAAAAAAGATCCCCGCCTATCAATTGCAATTATAATGATAATGCGCCTCAGTCACTTGCCATGGCGCTATATAAAATGACTATTATTATTATTATTATTATTATTATTATTATTATTATTATTATTATTAATACGAGTTGAAGTATTTGTACAGTCATTTGGCTCCATTCAATTCAATGTTTAATCTAAAACAAGTAACAGGCATGACTAAATAAATTATTCCATGCCAAAAACGTAAATAAACTTAAGTGCACTATCACACGAATTTTAAAAAACACATCATCTCTCAATTAAAAATGAAATAGGTCGGCGTTTAACATCATTCATCTTAAACACCTTCAATTCTTCAATCATTGGGTGAATGGTCCACTTTGTTTTAGGATCGGAGTGCCATTCATACAATGAACGCTCGATTGGAAGGATGCGCTTTTCGATGAATGCATGCACCTCCATATGAAGTTGCCGAACATTTTCCGGTAGAGACTGCAGACTCACATGCATTGGTGCTTGTTAACATTAAATAAATCATGATAATGACGGCGTCGATGATGATTTTAACGAAGTTTTAAACGTTCTATATAGAATTGCTTGTAGATATACGTTTAAGTTATTTAATTTATATACAAAAAGCATTTTATACATTAACTCTGTTTCAAGAGTATTTACCAATAACATCATTCTTCGCATTTGCTGAAGAATTTTTAACATCTGAAAGAATGAAGTCTACAGAGGCCGAAGAAGAAGAAGAAGTGAGTTCGCTCCGTTGAATGAGTTGGTAGCCCTTGCGACACAACTCTTCTGCAAGTGCACGTGCCAGGTGGGCATTTGTTGAACTTGACTGACCTGCAAAAATAAAACAACAATTTGAAACATGTTCAGTGTACAGTAGAAGTCAAGGAATTATTTGCAAGGAAAAAATATAAGACTAAACAACTAAATAACCAAGTGTAAACAGTTTGAAGACAATGGAAATTAGTAAATTATTAACCAGTGACAACCTTGCAAGAACCTTTTATGCACCCCTTGTAAGATAGCAGCCAAACGAAAGTAGATGAAGACCAGGTAGAAGTCCCAATTGGATGGAGGTTGCTGGCCTAAGTTTGAGAAGTACCTTTTCGTGTACTCCTTCAGTGTGGGGATGCCTTCTCTCTGCAGCTGATCTTCACTCAGTAAATTTAAGGCTGGACATGGTTTTATTCAGTATATGATAAAAAGTGAACATTTAATTGCAGATGAAAAAATATATTAAAGTATGAAAATTACAATATTGCAGGAATTTTATTTCTACATATTTCAAGGAAAACGTCTATTGCAACATGTTAAACGAACCAACATGGAGCAAGTTGGTTTTCAGGCAGCACGTACATGAGGCAACTGTTGGCAAGATCAGTCAGTGGATCACCCAACGTTGACATCTCCCAATCAATTAATCCTATCAGATCATATGTTGTTCGATTAAATATCAGGTTATCCAATCTGTGTGAAACAACAAAAAAAAAACGTTAATTAAATGGTAAAAATTAAAAATTTAAGCCAAAAAAATGATAAAACCAACCTAAAGTCTCCATGAACAAGAGACGTCTTCTCATCAGTGGGAATTCTACTCTGCAGCCACTGCGCAATATCAGACATGTGGTTCAATTCATCTATTGCAGTAGTTCCATCTGATGACATTGTTAAACTGAACTTGTATTGTTTCAGCCATCTACTAATATTTCTTGAGATGTAGGAACCTGTGAGATGATGCATAATCAAACATCCAATGGAAATAACTGACGTCTATTAACCATTGAATAAAAGCAAAATTATACGATGGCATACTGAGCATGTGTAAGACTACAATGACAATAAATTAATTAATACCATCTTTACTAAATGCTGGTTAACATGAATTAATTTATTAACAGATGAAATTATTGACCCTTAGGTCCAAAATTTTGCAGTCCAACAGCCTGCAGATCAACTTTGTGCAACTGACTGAGGACATCACACATCTGGTTTATCACTTTCCTTTTCATATCTGCAGGCACTCCAGGCAGTGTGCAATCTTTAAAAATTATCCCATCCAAATATTGCATCACGTAGAAAGAGGTTCCTAGCACACTGATGGAGGTGGAATAAAAAAAAGAAAAACATACAAAACCGAAAAATATAACAAAACTACTGATATTATCTAAATTAGAACATCATTTACACCTTTCATCCTCACAGTAGCAGAAAACTTGAGGCAGAGGAATAGTGGTGTGTTGACTTAGTGCCCTCATAACAAGGTACTCTCTGTCAATTGCATGAGCTGAAGCAAGTAATTTACCTGGCTAGATGGTATGGTAGTGTATTGGTTACTCTTTGAAAGTATTTTTAAATATTGTTAGCTTCATACATAACAAAGATGTAATCATGCTAAAAAAAACATTATGGTTGAGACAAGTTAGGAACCTAATAAATCATCAAACATTTGATCAAATACCAACAGGTTTTTTTCTGAGCACAAACTTTTGATCAGCATATTTCACCAGGTAGGTAGGGTTAGACTGACCATGTTCAAACAACATTAAGGTAGGTTTTTCTGTAAAATACACTAAGATGATATGGACAATTTGACAGCCAAAGATAACGACAAAACAAAGGAATTAAATAAACATTGAACATGGAAACTACTAAATAAATAAATACCTGCCCCTTTGATGTGCAACTGGTTGTTTAGAAATTCTTCAAACTTGTCAACGTCAATTTGAAGTAATTCAGTAACCTTTGTTACACTGCCATCAAGGGGGAAGCCTATTATCTTTTCCAAACTTTCAATTGCTTGCTTAGGTGATTCAACCTTTTGTTAAAGAGAAATATTTACCGGTAAGATTTTAATTTAAATGACGTTTAGTGTTATCTGGTTATGGAAGATATAAATTTCCAAAATATGCAAAGTAAAAAACACTGGTCATTTCATGCATAAATGACCAATTAGAGTTTGCTAATAATTAGATAATGTTTAAATTGAAACCTTTTAAATCTGACACAACCAAGTGTTAGATCAAAATGATAGGATCAATTAAAGATAAGTTAAAAATTGCAAATATATTAATAGATCTAACAAAGACTGATCGTCCTTACATCAGGAAATCAACAACTAATAATTTAATGCTAAACTTTAACAGTCAGTATTCCAAGTAAGCTGGCAGCTTTCAAATTGTGGACCAAATCATCCAAGAAGACAGTTTGTTGGGGTGCCACATTCAGCTGTTCCAATGTATGTGTGTATATACGCTCTTCTGGCTTGCGCATTCCTACTTTTGCTGATTCAACTATCTTCAAATTTTTATGGAATGTTACTTCAATTATTAAAATAAATTAATTTTATAAATTTTTAAATATTGAATCAAATCAGTCACAACAATTAGACAAATTAAAGTGTGAATAATTAAAAACTAAATATACTAAAAATAAATCAGACCAAATTAATGTATGAAGTAGACAAATGAACTTGCCACATCAAATAGTGATTGATCTAGAGGCATGAAGGTTGTTTCATCTGGAAGCAGGCAGTTGTTGGTCAACAAAGCTGTTTTTATGCTGTTTTTTCTCAGACATTTAATTGCACCAATCATCTTCTGATAGGGATCTCCTTTTGAAAAGTATTGGATCATTTTGGGAAGCAACTGACTTGCATCAATCTTCAAATTTTTCTAATTAATTAAAATATTTATTCATCAATACTTTATAAAACATAAATAAAATTGCTTAATAATTTTATTTATGCAAATTTTACAATAAACAATTTCAAATACATAAAATAATTAACTGTTTAATTCACAAAGCAAAATCTGGCATACCACTTATATTAGACTATTAAAAATGACTTGAACAAAGTAAACCTCTTTGTAGTATTCTTTCTCAAAGATGTGAACGAAGGAGCTTATGTTAAGTTCTCCTCTCTCCAACTGAGCCCAAGCACCATTATCTCCTGAGGCTACAATTGTCTTTACTAATGAACCGGCTGGCATGTTGTATGCTGCTTCATAATCTTTAATAATAGATAATTTTTGACTTTTATGATTTTAGCTAAGAGATTCAAGTTTAACCTTTAAATAAATAGGTTTGTTTTTATAAGTGATTGCTTTTCTTCTATTTCTTATTGTTATATATTTTTTAAAAGATAGATTAGCATCAGTATTGTATTAGTTGGTTTTTCAATTTTATAATCAAGGCATAAAATTGATAAATGAATTAAGTCTATATTTAATTTATATTCAATGCTAATAAGGACTCTATGCCACACTCTGCAGTATGGTGTGTACTGAGCATGCAGTGGCAATACATACAAGAATACATGCACACAGCAATAGCAATACATGAATATGAATTTTTTATGAATGAATACACTGTAACACATGTATGTATCAGTTTATTCATCAAGATAGCAAAACAAGCCGTTTTTTAAAATTTATTCTGCTTACTAGAATTAGAACAATTAGAATATTATACAAAAATAAAAAGAAAGAACCCTTGAACAAGAGTCCGGGAGATGGAATGAGCACGCCACCCATGTCGAAGATCACCGCACGAATGTTCGTCGATTGACACATCGCACAAACGGGTCTCAAAATTAATTTGGAGGCTAACAAACGGTTTTGCAGAAAAACGGCGCTCCTTATCCCAATCACGTCAACATGTTGAAGACGAACTTTGAAACGCCACTGACTGTTTTCACTACGATTGCAGATTTTTAAAGTTTGGCTTTCAACGCCAAACCAGGTGAGTCAACATGATCGACGATCGACGAATGCTTCCATCCGTAAACGATAGTTTAATTTAAAACAACATTTCACCAGTTATATTGGAATTATAACAATGATTAAAATAATTTAATTAAATCTAAAAAAATCAATTAACAGTCTTAGTTATCATATTCACAGCTCACCTAACCACACTTAATTAATCCTCTTTGGCAACTTTTCGTGCATTTAATAGCTACCGAATAAACCTAAAATATTAGTGGTGGCGGTATAAAATTTCAAACGATGAACAACTCTTGTTCTCATTCCTTAACATAACAATATATAACACTCAATTTCAGGTGGATCTATTTTTCTATATAGCGTTCATCCACTTTCATTTTCACCTATATTGATAGCCTATCCCTACAACCTTCACTCACATATTCTTCAATTCAACATCATCGTCACATAAAGCAATGCTACACTATTTCAGAGTAAGAGATGTCGTAAATAGTTAGTTAGCTGTCTGACATGTTGTAATTAATACCATCGGTATTCAAAATATTTTTATTGATATATTTATTATAAACCATCTACAACCATCATAAGAAATGAAATATCTCAAGCAAGCAACGCTGCCTTCATATCCAAATATTTAGAATCTAAATATTTGGATATGAAGGCAGTGTTGCTAAATTTTAGATAGACTTATGTTGATAGATCGCCCTAATTAGCAGGCATGTTACGTACTAAGCAAACTTCGCTGTTGTTTCGTTTATATCCTGGTCGGTTATTAGCACGAGTTTTTTATAATTGACACAACATGTTCTTTCATGAAAAGTTAATTGAAGACACATTAAATAAATATTAAATAATAATAAATATACAAATAAACGCATAAATATAAAATAGAACAAAGAGGTTTTGACTGAACATTCCAATGGCTACAAAATTATTATCAAGCGTTAACTTGGAGTTGACAAGCATTAAATTGTACAAATATCATTTATCTGCCCCCAAAATTCCTCGCGATTTGCCAAAATTAAGTCCCGATTGATTGGCACCTTGGTTGCTTCCCATCTGCAAGCCAATGACCGCCTGGCCTTCCTTGCTTGCTTCATCTACCTGGATGTCTGCTATGTGTCTCGTTGCTCCAAACGACATCCCCTTTTGAGAGGCCAACTTGTTTGTACCCATCTGCAAGCCAATGACTGTTTGGCCGGCGTTCAACTGCTCCTCCGTGAAGTCACGCACATTTTTCTGAGCTTCTTTCGGTCCCAACGTCGGTCCAGCGTAACCTTTTAACTGTGCCTGTTTTTAATAATTTTGTGTAATTTCTCAAATTCGAAATTGCAACCAACAAATAGGAAAGAGCTGTTACTTTTCTTCCAAGGGCATATATTGTCAAGATGACCTGCCATAAATTTTGATTTTCGTACAGATTAACGGTTTGAAAAAGGTCTGTTTTAGCGACGCCATAAGTCTCGCAGGCTTTCAAGAACAAATTTATATTCTCCATCTGTTTGAATGGCAATTGTGATTCGTTGTACTTCACTTTGCTTGGAGACATAATGACATTAGCCAGCCTAATTAAAATTGAAATAAATTATTTCAAACAATCCACAAGCGATTATCTACAACTACTTTACAGTAAATTGTTGAAATGATGAAAAGACTTAAATTTTTTAACAGGGCATTAGAAATAAATTGTAAGCAATTATCTAAACACAAATTGGGACAAACAAACGATTAGTTACATATTAAGTGAATTGTACACCAAGTTGTGATCATTCATAAAAAACAAAATACTCAACATAATATTCAATTTAAACGTTTTTACCAACTTGCATAGTTTAATGCCGTCCTTCAATGCAGCTTGGAATCTTTTTGGTCCAAGATTTTCGTGAGAACCAACTGTCTGAAAATTTAAATAAAATCAACTTACCGTCAGAGCAAAAATTTTCGTAATTCAATATATAATGTGTCAAGTTTTTAAAACACTCATGGTAATTATACAATTATAATAAGTACTTTGTCAAGAGGCTCCTTGATAACTGACTCGATCCACAACCGAACTTCTTGTTCTTTATCATTTTCATACTTGGCATCCATCTAGGACAGTACGTGTGACAAAATTGAAGTAAAAAGCTAATTTACGAATGTTTAAATTGGGCATATGTTTTCACATGTTTATTATTCTCTAGTTATACATTTAATTAATAAAAAAATAATTCAAAATTTTTTTGTAATTTCACAATAACAATACATATTTATTTACTGTAACCACTTGAAAAACATTTGAAAAATGTTGTCACCTTTCCTTTGATTTCGGCCGTCAATCCATACCCAACAGGTCTGCTTGCCATTGTGAACGTTTCTTTGTTTGTTTAATTGATAGAACCTGGTTGATGGTTAAAAAATAATTGCTTTTTCAGTTATTTTATCAGTTAAGATATAGAAACCTGATGTTGAACAAGTACATGTATTTATATACATTATTATACAAGTTTTAAAGTTAGACATTTTTTCATTGCATCTCTACAAAAATTATATCATCTAAAATTCTAAAATGTTACCTTATCTTATAAAAATTATTACAGTTTATGAGTTAAAAGTAAAAAATGCTAACACGTTTTTGAATGAAACAGTTATATATTTTAATTGAATAAAATTGCAGTAAATTAACTACGAAATTGATACCCGTCACTCAAATTTTAATTGAACAAAACACGTTTACGGATTTAGCTTTCAATTTAAATAACTTAAATTAATTTAATTTAAACAAATAATAATTCACACCTGTACCACAGCGCTGTAAAAAGAATTAAAATTTATTTGAGGTGTGTTAACAAATAGACAAAAATTTCAACTAAATTTTTTATTTTCAGTATCTTTATATAGCAACGAAATATTTTTAAAACTAATTAAATGACAAAATGCCGTTATTCTCAGTCATTCACATAATGCCTCTGGTTCAATCATCTTTTTATAAGTAATATAACACGCATGCAGTACCCATCGAAAAACAAAGTGGCAACATTCAAGTGGCTCTAACACTATAAGCTAAAGAGCAAGCTAGACAATGTGACAACAGCTGAAGAATATATGGCTGTATACGTTAGTAGCCTATACTTGAGTCAAAAATTCAAAATATTTGACAAAAGCGAGCTTACGTCAAAGTTCTTTATTGTATCGAAAGTATGAAGTACGATAGTTTTTATTTTCATGAATAATTAATAAGAACATTAACAATTATAAAAATGAATACTATTATAAAAATGAATGAACATACGTCGGCACAATCTTACAACAATATCCGGTTAATCATCAGCTGTTCAATGTTATCCTTCTAAGTAAGATGCACATGAGTAATAATAATGATTGCATATTCATTCGCACTGCGTTCAGCGCGTGTTGCTGAAAAGTATGTCAAATAGCAGGATGAAATACTTTTTTGGTGACGTAGTTTTCAAGATTATTTAGACGATACTTTAAAAAGTGATTCTTAGATCAAACATTTTTAAACATAGATAACATTAGAATTATATTCCAAAACTTTGGAGCTCGAGTTTTTCCCTAACCATATCTTAAAATATAATTCTGATGGTTTTCATATTTGGCTCAGTTGGTTTATCAATCTAGTATGATTTGTTCGCGTATTTTTGTGAATTTTTTTTATAATACTGGTTTAATTCACAATTGTATCACCCTAATGCCCATCCATATGTCAAAAATTACTCTTAATTTTTTAGTAAAATGTTTTACTCAAGATATGAGCAGTTTGTAGATTAAAATTTTTACAAAAATATTTTTGATGAAATTATCTGTAAATATTTCAACTGTTGTCATTTTCACGCTAAATCTCAGAATATGAAAAAAACATATATTCATGGAAAAAACGTAACCTGCACTTATACTACATATATCCAGCCTACAACCCATTGAATTATATAATTCCATGCTACAACCTGCCAAAAAAATATTCAACCAAGGTTGCTTGTTCGAATTTTCGTTTCGAAGCAATTAAAAAGTGTGTTTGCTGTTGTTTGCATCAATGAATTAATAAAAATTTTGAGAAAAAATAATACTGACACTTGAACGATTGAGAAAATGTTAGAAAAGGTGAAAAAGCTGTGGAAATGTCTACTTTATTTTTCCAAACCTTCATATTTGATACCGGTTGATATTTATCTACTGCAGTTTTACGTTGTGTCTACCGCATGGATACGGTCTACCGTTGCGAAAACATTATCCCCAGTTTTCATGTAATTTTGCGCAATATGATAAACTTCAGGATGCAAATAAATTTCTTTCATTATATATATTTCTTACTTCGATCATAAAACATTTAAGTCATTGCACATTTGCACAATCATCCATAATTATTTCATAACACATCTTCCATTCCATTTGATTAATGATTCTATGGGTAAAATATAATGAACCGACATCAAGGCTGGCTATTACCATGGATATATTATTCATGGCTATTACTTCCAAATAACGCTTATAATTGCAATGAAAAGGATCATATAATTGTAATGAAAAGGATCATACAATTGTAATGAAAAGGACCACATATTTGTAAGGTTATGATGTGACAATTCTAGTTTGTACCCACTAACCAATTTTTTTCACTATAATCGTTATACGTCATAGGACAGTATTAAAATACGTATTGTAATAAAATTACACGTTTTTACCTGAGCTAGTTCTTGCATTATCACTTATTGCGTGAAGTGTACTTTTGAATAAAAACTTTAAAAGTAAACTCAAGATAAAATGTCTCGTTCGTTTTTTTAATGTTTAATCGTTTACCGTCATTAATAAATTTTTATTATGAGTGAAAATTCTTATTTGCAGCCAACAAAAGTTTCAAAATTTATTTACTCACCACATTTTGGACTGGTTGGTCCTCGCGCCGAAGAAAACAACCGCAAGCACGTATCGTGCCTATTTCCGGAATTATTAACCCTAATATTTTCTTTTCTCGATTTGTCTGACAAGGGAAAAGTTGGACAGGTTTGTACATCTTGGCGAGACGCCGCATACAATAAGCAAGTTTGGAAAAATGTTGAAGCAAAACTGCATCTTCGCCATGAGGTTCCGTCACTCATTCCTAGTTTGGTGAGGAGGGGAATTAAAAAAATTCAAGTCCTGAGCCTCCGAAAAAATAAAAAAAGTTTTTCCAAAGAAAGTTTATCTTCGTTTGAAAGTATAAATCTCAGTGGGTGTTTCAAATTAACAGATGCTAATTTCAGATGCTTTTTAAACTATGGAGAATTACTGTCCTTAACTTCATTAAACCTTAGCCTTTGTAAACAAATTACCGACAACACGTTAACTACTGTATCTATTTATTTGAAAAATTTAGAATTTTTAGACATAGGTGGATGTTCCAACATTACTGGCAGTGGCATTTACTCACTATCAAGCTCTTTGAAGAACTTAAAGCATCTGAATTTAAGAAGTCTTAGATATTTAACAGATGAATGTATAGAATCTATCACTGGGAAAGGCCAATTATCAATTTCTGGCTTGGCTCAATTAGAAAAACTTGTTTTACATGATTGTCAAAAGATTTCTGACAGTGCACTTTTGACCATTAGTTTAGGATTGAAAAACCTCAAGTGTCTTAATCTCAATTTTTGCTTCAATATTACGGCAATTGGTTTGAGTTATATTGCCAAGATGACAGAACTGCAAGAGTTGTACTTACGTTTGTGCATAAATGTGGGTGATCTAGGAATAGGATACTTAGCCTCTGGCAACATGAAACTACACACATTGGACATAAGTTTCTGTGAGTATGTTACTGACCAATCTCTTGCCTACATATCTCAAGGCATATTTCACTTGAAATCTCTTGGTTTGTCAGCATGTGCCATTTCAGATGTTGGAATATCATATTTGGTGAAGACAGTCACCAATTTGAAAGTTTTGTATCTGGGACAGTGCAACAAATTAACTGATAAAAGTTTAGATGTAATTTCAAAACAGTTGATCAACCTTGAAGTGATTGATTTGTATGGCTGTACAAAAATAAAAAGAAAAGCTGTTGAAACTTTGTCATCGATGCCTAGATTGAAGCAAATTAAAATGGATATATGATATTTTTGTTCTTGGTTCTCATGATAAATCACAACATTTTGCAATTGTTTTGTTTTAATTTTCTGTTAATTTGTTAATGTATTTTATAATCATTATAATCAGTGCATTATTTTGATGATACAACGTCTAATTTGTTGAGCTTTAAATTTGGAGAAGCATATCCCCTTTCACGATACCACCATATTTTGTTTAAATAGTAGAAACATTAAAATTTAATTTGTTTTTCTGATTTATTTTTATTCAAGTGAAAATTAGACAGAGATATTGTACATACTTGTTTTGTTGATGAAACATTTTTCAATGAAGCATTTTTTTCTTTAAATGAAATTTTATCAAGCAACTGCTTCAACAATACTTATTTTAAAAATTATTTTTCACTCTTTGTTTTCAATAATTACCAAAAAGCAACATTAAATAACTGACTTTTTTAATTTATAAAATTTGCTGTACTGTGAGGTACCAGAATAATTGAAAAGGAAAGGTGTAAAAATTGTGTATACTAAATCAAATGATCAATAATGTATAATAAAAATCATGTTTTAGCAATATAAGCTCCTTCAAAAGTTGTTGGTACAGAAACTGGGTCCAGCTTGTGAGATTTCATAAGGTTGGAAATTTCGAACAAATAATGAAAACATTCAGACCTGATGCATTTCGATGAAAAATATTTGATTAATATATGCCGTGAGTTAAAACATTTGAATGAGAAAAATTATACTTGATTAATATATGCCGTGAGTTAAAACATTTTAATGAAAAAAATGATAATTTATGTTATGAGATTATTTAAACATGTAAAATATTTACATGGTCTTTGCCTCCTGCCAGGTTTTGCCCCAAACATACACTCCATGTCTCCTTACCAATACAGCACAGGTGTCAGGGTAATCTGCCATAGCCTTTGCCATTATTTCCTGATTTAGTTTATTTTATTTTTAAGGGCTTGAAAACTAAGTTACTAAAAAACGAGTGCCATTATGTGTAAGGTGTACAAGTTTACACTTATAAAATACAAAGAGCAACATCAAAATAGCAGTTCATGAAAATATATTAAGATGATTCATACCTTAAGCTCGTGTTCATAAGGTGTATTTTCAACAATAGGAACTGTAAGCACATCATCGTATCGATAATTTTCTCCTAAATGTGGTGAATTCATATATACAAACGCGATTTTTGTTCAAACTGAGCATTAATAAGAGGCATATGTATTTTGTTTGAGATGAGTAAAATTAATGATACCTGTGGAGCATTTTTTGATGCCTTTGATCATTTCAATGTGAGATATTTTAAATTCTTTCCCTAGTGTCAGCAGGGTGCACAGGACAGCTGGAATAGAATGGGAATGGATAACTGCTCCCGCATCTGGCATTAAAAAAGGTCAAAGATCTGTTACATTTTTCCAAAGTTCAAAGAGTCAATACACAAACAGCGTGCATGTATACACAATGCATGTGAATACATAATAACAACAATAACAATAATAATTTTATATATACAGTGGAGATCAAACCCGGTTACTGAGTAACAGGACCAGATGCCCATCATAGCACTGAAATTCTAAATTGATTAAAAAAACCCATTCTTTCATAAGCAAAATTCAAAACATAAAAAAAGTTACCATACTTCTCATAAGATAGGCATTCATGAACAAGGGTGTGCATTGACTTTTTCTCAAATTTTTATTTTTAGGAAGCTCCAAATCTACTCCATTAATATCTTGAACAAATAGATCATCTGGCTTAATTAAAAACAGAAATGAAAAGGTCTTTTTGGAATATTTATAAACAAAATTATCATAATTTATTTAACACTTCACTGCACTTATTGCAAAAATGTTAAAAAAAAAATCAGTGGTTTGATACATTAAGGTTCCAAAATTAATCCTTTAGTAGTTTAAATTTGATCACATTGCAAAGTGTATTCTGAAATACATATTAACTGAAAAAATCTGATAGAAGTTAAGAAAAAATACTTGAATGCATTCCTTTTGAACAGCTGAAGGAGCAATGTATATTTTGTCCCTTAAATTTAATAAATAGAATAAAATATTAGAAAAAGTGAAAATTATTATTATTAGAAAGATGATATTATTAAGAAAGTTAAAATGGTAGTAAATAAAATTTTACTCATGTTTGATGCTTATTCCACCACCTGTTCCTGTCACCCAGCCCAGATGATAGAACTGTTTACATAAATTTGGTATCAGTGTTCTTGGATTGTCCTGTTCAATGAGTTATTAAGTCATTTCAACGTAAAGAATAGAAAAAAGAAGAATAAAAGAAAAACCATTTTTATTGGTGACGGTGTCAAACAATGATCATATTTAAAAATAACAAAAAAATTATATAATTATAAATAATTTAATGAACGAAACATCAAATTGATAAATTAAATTGCAATTCAAAATGTTATACCCCTTGTATTTTAAAATCCATCTTTAATTTTTCGCAGTTAAGACTGTTAAGACTAGAGTACACAGGCCAGCTGATGAAATAAAATGCGTGAATGAAATGCAGTATAAAATATGCAGTATATAATGAACTTGAAATACAATCCTCAGGCTTATCTGAATTTATTTTTAACCTTTGAGCTGTGATATAGAAACAGCTGCAAATATCAAGAATGAACATGAAAATAGTGCTCTGTTTTATATTTTATATGATACCTAAATACACACACATATATGCACATACCCACACACATACGCACACACACACACACATATATACACATTAAATTTTATTTGCCCTTGACAAGTTTACACCTCACAAACTCAAGCCCTGTATCAATCAATCTTCGTTTTGCGTCCTGAGACCCGGTTTCCCGAGGTAGGAAATATAATGTATTGAATTGAATGTATTGTATAATGTATTGAATTGAATGGTGAAGAGGGTAATTTTATACAATATAAAGCACTCATATATATATATATATATATATATATATATATATATATATATATATATATATATATATATATATAACATAGCCATTTTTAATATTATTGATTCTTGCTTTATTTTGTATATATATATATATATATATATATATATATATATATATATATATACAAAATAAAGCACTAAAAAAAGTTTTATTAATGAAAAATTGTCTGGGTGTTTTATGTAGTTTAAGCAATAGAATTGATAT